CTGCAAACTCTGAGGAAGAGTTTGGCTAATGATTTAAGCACCTATATGATGGTGAAGGGTGGGCTTAAGGCCAAGGGTTGAGGCTTTTTGGTTGCGGGCTTAAGGTTCAGGGTTTAGGTCCGAAAGGTATCAACAACGTTTCTAGTAAGGGGTGCTGTGAGGGTTGTATGCGATCCATCAAGGCGTTCCTTTCAGGTTCAGCGAGGAGATTATGAGGGTAGCATGGTGGTCCATTCAGGGCTTCCCGTCACTATTGGCACTGTTGGTAAGAGACCACAAGAATTAATTCTTCAAGGGTCCATGGCTATATGTGGTCTAAGGCTATACATTAAATTAAGCCTAACGTGCCTACTCGGAATCCCACTATACCGTACAGTGTCTCTTCATGTTATACCAATATCAGAACAATAAAGTTGCATATATATATATATGTATATATATATATACATATATATATATATATATATATATTTATATAAATAAATGTATATATATATATGTATGTATGTATGTGACGTGCATGTTTTTATGTATTTATCGTTTACAGTACGGGGCAGGGTTTGAGGGTTGCCGGCCTCAGAGTCATGGTTCAGGGTCGTCGGGTTTACTTCAATCGGGTGGGGTTCACGCTTAACTAACGTGCATAGACGCTTTTCAAGCCCAGACCCCCGGGAGGATCTAGAAAGTAGATCCCCTAATTTGGGGCCCTATACTACTAAGGGAACTTTGTAGGAACCCCCATTAAGGGATCTACTTTTTGGATCCTCCCGGGGCTCTGGGAGTGTCGGACAGGTACCAAACGCTCTGGGTCGTGCGTCCAGGTTTCAGCTGAACTCTGCAACACCACTTAATGGACTTACGATGCAACGCGTGAAGGCTGTTTACATAAACCTCGTGCAGTCCTAAGATAAGCAGCGCCGTCAAGCCTCCCAGAATACAGCGGGTCCTACAAATGCAAACTACCCACCCGTATACACTGCAACCGCAAGAGAAATGGTGACCCATAGTAAGGACCCCGAATGTAGAAGCTACAAGAAGCCTGGCTTCGCTGAACAGAGCAAGGCCACCGGTTTAGGTCGATCGGAGGAGTTGTACCGCAAAACAGAATGCTACGCATCCTGCACACGAGAAATCAACACTGGCACCATGAGTAAACACACTTAGCATCCCTGTACCTGTGTTGCATACACTTTGTCTTCTTATGTAAGTGAACCCAAACCCTAAACCCTATACCCCTAAACCCCTAACCCCTAAACCCAAAACCCAAAACCCCCATACCCCCGAAGCCTAAACCCTAAATACAAGTAGCTGCGGGGCATTGTATCTGCAACTTTTGGTGTATGCACACTTCAGAAAGTGTCGATTCGAACAGTCTCCAATATTATCTGTAATCACGGCTCTACATTCAACAAGAAGGGAAACCCTAAACCCTACAGCAAACTCCATAAAGTTGGAAACCTGATTAAGGCCAAATAGTGCTGGGATTCCCTTTACATTACTCTTAAGGATTGAGGCTATTGGGTTTCCAACTTTTGGGCTTCTACTGTAAATTCAAAATCATCCCAAATCGAGACCAGCTCACGGAAGTCAAGACTTGACAACTTGACGACCACACCCACACTCCGAACCCAAACGCTGCAGAGTTGAGTGTACATAGGGTTTAGGGGCTTGGGGCTTAGGGAGCAGGGTTTAGGGGTTTGAGGATTTAGGGTTTAGGATTTAGAGGTTTAGGGATTAGGGCTTTTGGTAGGTCTTTGGTGGGGTTTAGTGGCTTAGGGCAAAACATATTCGTTACAGCATCTCAAGAAGTGAAACTTCCGGAGCGACGGACGCAAACACAGCTTCACAACAAGGCTTTCCGTCTAGGGTCGCAAGTTCAGGGCTTAGCAGCTAGTTACTGCGACAAACACAGCTTCACAACAAGGGCTTACAATTTAAGGTCGCGGGATTAGGTCCCAGCAACAAATCATGGCAATAAGCCCAATACCACATTCACAGCAGTACCAGTGACAAGAACACACAGTCACAAGGCTCACCGCCAGCTTAACTCACGAATTCTTTGAACGACAGAAATAAACTCCAATGGTGCAAACACTCAAAGATGCAAAACATTTAGTTTCTGTGCGTGTGAGATTCCAGATTTGCATATACATGTGAAAAGAAAGGAAAACCACATGACACACGCGCACGCACACACACACACAACCAACACCCACCCACCCACACACACACACACACACCCACCCACCCACCCACCCACCCACCCACCCACCCACACACACACACACACACACGCACACACACACACACGCACGCACACACACACACACACAACACACACACACAACACACACACACACACAACCAACACACACACACACACAACCAACACACACACATATGTGTGTGTGTACATGTATTACATGCATACATTCGTTTCATTATTTCAAGAACTCCTCTATGAACTTGCTTCAACCAAGGCAGCAACTTTGCAATAATAAGCTGCCGGCCTCGGAATGGCTCACAGCCGCTCACATACTACGGCCGCGGTCGAAGCTCACAAAATTCAAACGGTTAAGGGTTTAGGGTTTGGGGTTTATCAGGGGTGTCTGCAGGATTGGGGGCATGTCGTTTTGGCCTTCTTCTTCTGTGAGGGTTGAAGGTTTAGGAAATAGCTAGGGCTCGGGGTTGAAGACTTAGAGCGCATGGTTGAGGCTGTCTGTGGTCCATTAGTTTAGAAGATTGGTGTCGGTGTGCTTCGAGGAGCTGGGTTGAGTAGTCTGGGGTGTAGGGTTTAGGGTTTAGGGTTCAGGGTTCAGGGTTTAGGTTTTAAGGGGTGTGGGGGGTTGCACCGTTCAGGGCTCTGGTAGCTTCAGGGCTTCCGGCTACGATTTCGTCTGCAGCCATGGCAAGCAATGCCAGCTATGACTATTGGTAGCTGCGCATTTGACAATGAGCCCGATGCATGAACTAGTTAATGTAGAGAGCCTAAACAACGCTTGAGACAGAAATAGGCAGATGCAAAACCACAAGTCCAACTCCGCAAGGGTCCATGTACTGATCTAGCATATACTTTGACCTCAATGTACCCTCAATAGGGACTACACTAAGGGGCCCATGTATATACCAAATGAGCTTAGGGACTGCTAAGCAGGAAGTCGAAGTCCCATGGGCCTTTCTAAACCCAAAACCCAAAACAACCCTAAACCCTAAACCCTAAACCCTACCCCCGAAGTCCTAACCCCCTAAGCCCGAAAGCCTCGTAAACCCAAGCAAACCCTGACCCCGAAATCCTAACACCCTAAACCCCCAAACCCCAAAACCCTAGTAAACTCTAGTAGACCCTGTCCCCCACCCCCTAAAACCCCCCAAACCCCAAAACGCTAAACTAGAGTCTGGAGCTTCAGGTTTGGAGGTTCAATGCTCGAGCGTAAGGTTCTGATCCTCAAAGCGTGAGGCTTTCGTTCTCGTCGACGCAGACATCTGACTCTAAGTGCAACTGCAATTACAGCGTGCCCACATAAAGAGAAGACATCTACAGGGCATGTAGCTTTGATGCAATCGAACTGCACCCAAAACATCGTGAATAAACGGATGGAGCGAAACGGCCCAACAATAGCTGACTGAGTCATCACAGCCTCCAAATGCCCCACAGTAAGACTAAAATAGAAATCCCTTATAGAACCCTTATAGATCCCTGTAAAGGAACCATAGATAGAATCGCATAGAACCCTTATAGATCCCTTTACAGGACCCCCAAACAACAAGAAATCTGTACCTAGGCCTCGAGCCAGACGTGTCTTTTTATGACTACGCAGGCCACGTCGGAATTCACGTGAGACTGGCGTGGGCTTGGCCCAAGCATTCTCTTCAGCACGCTTTGGTCGCTACATTGTGGCCTCCCGTAAATGGTAACCTGAACCAAAACCGCAAACCGAAACCACGTGCTGTCTGAACCCTAGACCCTGAAACCCCTAAACCCTGAACCCCTAAACCCTAAACCCCTAAAGCCTAAACCCCTAAACCCCTAAAACCCTGACACAGGATCTCCAGGAGGGTCTTGTAGCTCAGCCCAGGGAGGCCCTCAGCTGAAGCCGAAACACAAACACCCAAGCTCTCTTCGGCCTGCTCAAATAAACATGATACACTCTAAACCCAATAGTAGTCCCCGTACTCATAAACCCGAGCTTTTTATCCCCAAAACCCCAAACCTGAACCAGACAGTTCCAGAAACGAACTCTTTAAGATACTCTGTCAGGTCTGCACCCTCGCGGAGAACCCACAGTCAGAAATACATTTGGCAAGATGTTCACGACACCCAGCAAGGAATAGAATCAGGAATGCAACATGGAGGCAGTACCACAAGACTCATATCAAGGTTCGCCAGATTTCGCGACATATCAGATTAAACCCTCATAATTAGCCCAAAACCCTAAACCTAGCTATGCACCCCGATTGCGTTCTCGAATTCACGGCTCCGGGGCGGGGGGGAGGGGTCTCAGGCCTATACAGCTCCAATTCCCGAATGATTCAACGACCAAAGCTCGATGCCTGCGGCTCTCAGAGAACCCTTCGGGTTCTTCGCAAACATACGCGGGCTATAGGGGGGGCTCGCCCAAACTGTGTTTTTTGCCAGAATCCTTCTAATTATCTTCTGATGCACGTGTGTGGTTACGCGCTTTTGTTGTGGGCGGGTGCGGGTGTACAGGCATGTGCTTAACTTTATTTAGGTCTTAATCCCGCAAGGTTAGAGTCAGTACCGATGCTATCATCATTGCCTGCTTTCAAGCTCCGTAGTACTACGACTGGTACGACTGCCAGCACTACCACTAGACTAGCTGCCACTACTAAGACTTTCAAATTCTCAAGCCTATTTGTGATTCCACATGCGGATGTTGCAGAATCTTCAGTTTAGCTACTCGTGCAACCATGGTGCTACGACCTAAAACATCACTGAGTCAATTCAATGTCCGGTGTGCTGAGCGCATGCTTTGCATGCATCAGCGACCGGATTGTCTTGGCAGCCACCTCAGATCAGCCGGCTTCGTTTAATTACGAGGCTCGGTTTGGGGTTTCGGGTCACTAGACAAGAAACTGCAGAACCCCGATTTGCAGGGAGCACTGGTCATGAAGCTGCAGACCCCTACCTAAACCTTCAACCCTAGACTAGACCCGAAACCCGTTTCAGATACTTTGATGTTGCAAGTGCCATCAGTGTATTGTGTCGCGTATTGGGGTGCAGAGATACAGGTGTTGGGACAGTTTGGGGTTTGTCGCTTTATGATGCTTCAGTCATTGCCTGCCTGTCATAGATCGCTTTTGGCCTAGAAATGCTTAGGCTTAGGCTACATCCTGTTTATCCCTGCCTGGCATCCTTTACATCCGAATTTCCCGGTCAACAAAAACCCTCCAAGTGAGGGGTGCTGAAGCCTGACCTGTCTACCTGAAAAGCGAGACACTATGCGTAGAAACATCCGTGAGCCATGTACATCAACCCTACTTTTAGCCCAACGCCCAAAAGAACCCGTAATCCGAAACCAAAAGCCAAGCATAGCTTTGCAACAGCTTCCAACATGGAATAAGGTTCGAAAACCTTAAACCCTAAGCCCTAACCCTTATGAGGTTCCCGCACGCCGGGCGCCGTCGGATCCCGGTGAGCCAGCGCCATGAAACCCTCAGCAAAGACTGTCTGGTTCTTAGTAGGGACTGGGGGAATGGGTTATTGGGACTACTGTTAGGGATTATATAGGGACTACTACAAGGGATAGATTCCCCTATTCCACTAAGAACCAGAAGACGGCGAGCTGAATGGGGCTTTTGAAGAGGAAGGGGTTTGGGATTCAGGGCTGGGAAAACGGAGCAACGACAGCATCGACAACGATAACATTACTGTCACAGTATCAGCAACAATGCCAATAACAAGAGCGATGACAACGACAAGATAACAGCCCCACTTGGCAATAGTGGTGGTGATGCTAGTGATAGGCTGGTTGGCCGTCGTCAACATCTTGTTTTTGAACAAAGGACGTATGTGACGCTCTTGACGGTTATCATCACCCCGACGGAGTCATCACCCTTATCAGCGTCCTCAAGTCAAGAACATTTATACTGATGGTTACTTTCCCTAGCAACCGTCATGGGGAGATTTCCATCGATAAGGTCATTATTGGATACGTAGTAGCAATAGTGAACTCAACATTACCACATTAACACCTGTCATCAAAACCATATCCTGCCACAGCGTTAGTTGGGTTTCATTGATGGAGGAAGCCGAAACTTCAGCAGCCGGCCGTGCGATCCCACTCGCGGACGGGGGTCGCCTGCTCTGCCACAATGTTGTACCTGCAGGGTACTTCTGACACTGCTAGATCTGTGCGAGCTTGGACATCTCTGACATTCTATAATATACGATATGAAATATACTATTATGTACTATTATACTATAGTACCATGCGCCGGAACATCTCAAAGCGGAAATTGGCACTTCTGGCAGGGCCTTCCCTTTTGCCTCGCCTCACAGCCGACCAATTGCAGATCTTCTCCATGTCCACGACCTGCTCGGCTCTTTCCCTAGGGATCTAAGGACTCATAGATTAAGGCTTTTGGGCCCAAAGACCATACTATGTAAGGCTTTTGGGCTATTTTTTGATCCCTAGGGTTTTGGCAAGGGGTAATGCAGGGGTGTTGTGCTTTTCGATATCGGGTTCAGGTTGTGGGGCTTGAGTTGGGTGCGGCTGTTTCGATTGAGCGCTTTAAGGCTTAAGCATCTCAGGCTGTCTGATTTTTTAAGGAACTGAATTTAAGTTGACTCCAGAGATCTATGGTGAATAATATGGTTTCCTTTTTATGGAAACTTAAAGTTACTTTCCTTAACAAGAACCCAGGCTCTCGAACTTATGGCGTTTTGGGCTTCCTTCTCAGCTCCGGGTTCATGGAGCTGAGATACAAATCGCGAAGTACTGTTGATGATATGAATCCTGCATTACTTTAAGGACCCTACATAAACTATGGGAATTATGGAATATTGAATATTCCTCATTATGGGTGATGCAGGATTTATAGCATCAACCGTATCATGGGAGTTGGGGTTTTTTTTTTTAAAGTGCAATGGGGCCTTTTTCCGCAGAGGTCCAGCCGGTTATCGGCTTGCACAACCACAGATCACTTACAGATCCATGGGACAAACACGAACAATGCCTCTCACTAGCCCAACAGGTCGCCCTTCAATCAACCACTGCCACGTCGTCGACTTGTGCGGACAGAAGCACGACGACGATGCAACGACACAGACGAGGTACCTTCACCTTCTCCTTCTCCAAGGGCACCATGACTAGCCGCGGGCACAGCAGGGTGGGGGTCGCGACTACGACTGCGTTCACGATGATCACGAGGAGCACGATGAGCACCAGCCGGGACAGCACCTACCACATCGCCAAGTCCACCAGGCACCACAATACGAGGAGCTGGACGAGGTTGGTGAAGACGACGACGATGTCGAACAGCCCGACGATCCGGTGCCGAAGCGAGCACTGCATCAGACGGGGCATTGTCAACCAACTGGTTTTCATCAGCTTGCACCAGATACAGCTCTTCATCATCTTCGGAAGGCCAATGACCAAGAGGAACATCTCGACCAGCAGCTGCATGAAGATCACGAACATGTGCACGCCATCCTCGTCGCCGAAGTCCTGCTATCGTATGCCTCGCCATGTGGGGTAAAGCGTCCCATACCTGCTGCAGCGTGCTCGGGAACCCAGGTTGAAGTAGAACAGCAGGGGCCGTGACAATCTGTGTCGTACCAGCAGTAGCAATCCCCAGTCCTTGTGCAGCTTCACGACGAACATGCCCCCAGATGCGCGTCTCCATATTCGGGCCATTGAAAATCAATGAATGCTGCGGTACAGGGAGCCAGAGTAAGGCCTCTTCGACCGCAATGCCCAGGAGCCTAGAGAGGTGATTCAGCCGACGCTGGCGAGATTGTAGGCGATGGAGGACCTCCAGTACATCACTTGTAGTGGCATAGACAAGCTCCCTGTTAACAGCGTCTCTAACCACATCCTCAGGCGTCACCCGTGTAGACGTGGTGCTTGTCGTGCACAGGAGGTTCTCTACCTCACCCAACGTCCATGAGGTCCACGACGTAGTTGTGGTCGTAGTAGATAACGAAGCCACCCAAGCGCGAGTCTGCCACAAACCAAGATGATCATCAGGATGATCGTCAACCCACAGCACTGTCGTAGAGGTCGTCGAAGAGCCTGAAGCCGACGAAGGGTTCTCAGTCCAGATACCAAGAAGTTCCCCCGCCAGAGCTTGAGCCACTGAACCATGAACTGGAATCGGCGGATCATCACGAGCAGGTCGGGGACGATTGACCGGGGAAGGAGGCGGAGGACCACGAGGTGGGGTGCCAGGACGAGCAGGAGGAATGCACACCAGTTGTCCATGCTCGTTGTACGCCATCTCACTGTTTAGTGACCTCCGACTTTCACTGGAGGAGCTGTCCGTGCTGCTTCGCAGACCCGAGCGACTGCGGCTTCTACTGCGCGACCTTTCGGACCCACCACCCCCAGACACAATCTCAGGAGCCTGAGGTTCAGAGCCCGCACTGGCTTCAATGTGCACGTTGTTACCATCCACATCCGCAGGGGGAGCTTGGTTCACATCACCTGGCTGTTGGTCTTCACCAGCCTGGAGGCGTACTTGAAGATGTCGGTCGAAGTTCTCAGCGAAAGTGGTCGCCAGGTTACGAGCCCAATTGAACAAATGCCACCGTTGGAGTTCTTGAGTTGGTACTCGTTGAAGAGGGAGAAAGCCACGAGGTTGTAGGCGTCGAACCAAGACTTCATACATTGCCTCTACGACAGCCATCCCATCCTCAATGCGCACCAACAGTCGCCCCAATGCCCAACGCGACTCAGGGCCTCGATCCTCATCATTGTGCACATCAAGGGTATGTAGAAAGTTCTCCAGACGATCGATTCCTTCTCGGTCAACACCTGCCTCTTGAAGACGAGCGCGCTCCGAACCCGTCATCTGCATGAGGGTGACCGTGGTGGTCGTAGCAGCAGTAACCTGCGGGTCAAGACCAAAGTTAGGTACAGCAGGAGGAGTGGAGGACGATGTAGTAGATGTCCATTCAGTTTGCCACCATGCTGCCGACCAAGACGACCAGGAGTTCCAGGAAGACGAACTCCAGGAGTGAGCATCCCAAGACGACGAAGCACCAGCATCATTGGACCACCATCCCATGTTCCACTGCTGACCAGACCATGGATCCCAGTCCTGTTCAACAGAAGTGTTAACACTCACCCCAGCCACGTTGCCGCTTGTGTCATCATCAGGTACAGAGCCGGACGAGGTGTCCCTCTCAACAGAACGTCCCAAGAAAACAGCCATGATCTTGGGGTCCACGATGGGCTCCGACGCCATCTCAACATTCTCCTCACGGATTTGTTCCATAGCTCGCTGACGACTTGCTTTCTCAGCCGCATACCTTTGGAGCCATGCCGGTTTCCAAGTGCCACCAAGGTAAGCCTGCATACGGCTTTGCTTACGAGCCATTCGTTGAGGTCCCATTCCACCCCGATGGGCACGAAGCTCCGCAGGTGACCGACATCTAGCTTGCCACTCACCATGTTTCCAAAAGCCAGGCCCGTCATCAGTGCAGGACGAGTTGGCACCGGAAGTCTCGTCATCGGTGCCCGAAGTCGTACTCCCCGCTGTAGTGGAGGCTTCTGCACCTAAAGCACTAGCACTAGCCCAGACATCAAAGGTTTCACCATAGAAGCTCGTCGCCTTTACAGTGGGTTCACCATCAACACTCCCAACACCAACGACAGTGAAGGGTGGGACAGGGAGTTGGGGTTTAGGGTTTGGGGTTTAGGGTCTCACAGGAGTTTTGGGCCTAGGGTATCAGATGAGCTTAGCATGCAGGGTATGGGACGGTTATGGTACAGAGCTTCTTTCCTAGCGGCTTCGGGTCGATATGAGAACATGAACAACCGAACAAAGCAGACAAACGAGACCATCAGGGACAGCCGTTGGCAAGTAAGCATCGCCCAGAGACCTTAGACACCGAAGATGACAATATCATATGATGATATCTGCAAACTTCAGATTCACTCTCTCTGGCCACGACGCTTATCTATATGCAGACTTGCTCCCTCCGACGAACATGCAGTTCGCCCTGGCCTCGCTCTTCACGCCTGCGGGCGGCAGTGCATAGCGGAGCCGGATGTCCTGAGGTACAGGATTTGGGCTCAAAAGGTGAGGGCCGAGACCCAAATCCGAAAACCCTAAACCCCAAACCCTGTGTCGGGGCTACGACTGATCCATTCCGGATTCTGGGCTAAAATAACAAGGTTTCAATAGTACAGCTCATCAGCAGCTATCTCGTCTTGTCCCTGACGAGCTGTACGAGAGTACACCCCGACGCCCTCATTCCACTATTCAGGCCCCTAAATCATCAATCCTATATGCCCCTCCAAACCATTTACAAATTAATCAGCCCCCCCAAATATTAGAGTCTCTAAATCCCTATGCGTAAACCCCTTGTGCGATCCTTAGACTTAGGACCCGCATAATATGCTAATCTAGGCATATGATATGCCTAGATTAATACCCTAAACTCCTTTGATACCCTAAACCCTAAACTCCCATGATAGCCTAAACCCAAAACCCCTAAACCCCAACTCCCATGATACTAACCCCAAACCCTAAACCCCTAAACCTCTAAACCCTTAAAACAACCCTAGAAACCACCTAAAAAACCCCTAAACCCCCTAAACCTCCTGGACCCCCAAAACCCTACTAAGTAAGCCCTACTCAGCCCGAAGAAAGCTACCATCCGACGAGCCGCCCCTGTGGCAACCACCTCCGCTGGCCGAAGCTCCGTCGAGGACGGCGGCGCCTCTGCGGCTTTGGTCTTTTCCCAGAGACTCCAATATCCCTTAATTAAGGAATATTCCTTAAATGATGGTAGGATCCCTTATATGATTTAAGGTATATTCCTTAATTAAGGAATATTCCTTAAATGATGGTAGGATCCCTTATATGATTTAAGGTATATTCCTTAATTAAGGGATATTGGAGTCTCTGGGTTGCTTGGGGTTTAAGGTTCAAGGTCTCGGCCTGAGAGTTACTTAGGGTTTAGGGTTTAAGGTCTCGGGTTTAGGGTTTCGGCTTTAGGGTTTAAGGTTTAGGGCTTAGGGTTTCAGGTTTAGGGTTTCGGGTTTAGGGTTAAGAGTTTAGGGATTAGGGTCTAGGGTTAAGGCTTTGAGGTTTAGGGATTGGGGTTTAGGGTGTAAGTTTTAGGGTTTGGGGATCAGGGTTTGGGGCAGGCTCTGTTGCATTCCAAGCTATACTTGGAGGTTCTTGGGTCGTTATAAGTGGGGCTCTAGGAAGGCCAGCATAATTTTACCTATATCCTATATTAATGAGTTAGACTTTCGGGATCCGGTTAAGGGTTGGCAGTGTCGGTTTTGCAAGCTGGTCATCCGGCTGCATGGAAGCGAGAGCTCCTGGCAACGACTGGCTAAGATGTGTC